CCGTCTGCAGCTACGACCCTGCCCTGGATTCTTGGCGGGACTGCAGCTGGCTGAGCAGCCCTCGAGGTTGGCACTGTGCTGCCACGTTGGCTGACCGGGCCTACGTTCTGGGGGGCAGCCAGCTGGGCCCCCGCGGGGAGAGGGTCGACGTCATTCCAGTGGAGTGCTATGACCCCTCCACCAATCAGTGGAGCTTCATGGCCCCCTTGGCCACCGGCCTGAGCATGGCGGGGGTGGCCACTCTCGGTGGGCAAATTCTCCTCGTTGGGGGATGGAACGAAAGTGGGAAAAAATACCAGAAGACCATTCACGCCTTCAACCCCGATCTGAACGAATGGACGGAGGAAGGGGAGCTTTTGGAAGGCACCGTGGGGGTCTCTTGCTGTACCATTGCCCTTCCTCAGGCGAACACCCGCAGCTCCAGAGCTAGTTCGGTGGCCTCGGCCTCTGTGAGCATGTAAACGGAGCGGTGGTTGAGCTGTGGGAATTTGGCTTGCTGAATCGGAGGCTTCGCAGGAAAGGCGACGGATGCGCTAGGTTTGGTGAAGAGAGTTCTCATCGCACAGGTTGTTCTGGGTCAGTGGTGGTGAACCTATGGCACGGGTGCCAGAGGCGGCACTCAGAGCCCTCTCTGTGGGCACACGCGTCGTCGCCCCAGTCCTAGGCCTTCAGCTGGGTTTTATAAAACCTTTTCACTTTAGGCTTCCGCCACCGTGTGCAACAACAACAACAAAAGGTTCAATCAGTCAATTTCAACTCGTGGGAAAAAAAGTTCTTGCAAAGTTGGAATTGATTGATTGAACTTTTTAGTCCCACCCAGTCTGCTGTTACCACTGCAGCCACGCCCACCCAATTGACCACGCCCACCCAATTGGCCACACCCATCCAATGGGCCACACCCACCCGGCACTCGACGATGCATAAGTGGGTTTTGGGTTGCAGTTTGGGCACTCGGTCTCTAAAAGGTTCGCCATCACTGTTCTGAGTTGTGGTTCACATCCCAATAATAACACTTTTTTGGGAGGATGTTCGGATTTACCTCTAGTCTAGACCTTTTCATAACTCCTTTGGGGAACTGAAAACTGAAACATGTCCAGACCTGACTCATCAAACATTAAGGCCTTTCACTTCTGCAAGGGACCTCTTTTCCTTATTATAATCTGAAATCTTCTCCCATCCTCCCCCCCAAATAGCCCCTATTTTAAAGGATTGGGAAGCCTTGAGGGGGGAGGTGCTCTTTTCAAGGAATTGCCAGTTTCCTGGATACCTCAGCCCTTAATTAAAGGCAAGCTACGTTGTGTTTTGTTTGGAGTACTCTAGCCCAGGGGTCTGCAACCTTGACAACTTTTAAGACTTGTGGACTTCAGCACCCAGAATTCCTCAGCCAGCTATGCTGGGAGCTGAAGTCCACAAGTCTTAAAGTTGTCAAGGTTGCAGATCCCTGCTCTAGCCCATTTATAAAGAATCATAGGGCTGGAAGGGACCTTGGGGATCTTCTAGTTCAGCCCACTGCCCTAGTCAGGAATCCAATCCAGGGATTGTCCAATCTCTTCTTAAAAACCTCCAGTGATGGAGCACCCACAATTCTGACAGGCAAACTGTTCCACTCATTAATTGTTCTCGCTGTCAGGGAATTCCTCCTTATTTCCAGGTTGCATCTCCCTCTGATGAGCTTCCACCTATTGCTTCTGGCCCTGCCCTCAGGTGCTTTGGAGAATAAATCAATGCCCTCTTCCCTGTGGCAGCCATTCAAGTATTGAGATACTGTTATTTTGTTTCCCCGAAGCTTTCCTTAGCACAAACATATCTAGCTCCTTCAGCCGTTCATGTGGTTTAGCCCCTTATCCTCTTTATGGCTCTTCTCTGCACGCTTTTTAAGACCCAGTGTCTTTTTTGTATCTTGTCAGCTCACCTGAGAAATGCAGCTATTCCATGAAAAATTTACCAATTTGCTCCTTCTTGCATATTCACACAGCCACTAAACCCTCTAGGCAGTTAGTGACCTGGCTCATTGACATGTCTGTTGCCAAACATGTTATCCGAGTTAAGAGGTGCTATCGTTCTGTAGCAGGAACCAAATTTCAAACCTAAGATTAGTCACATCTTTATTCACCGAAGTCTCCTTAACCAGATCAAGCCACGACCTTGCAAATGCTAAGTGTGGTCAGAGTTAGCTTGGTTAATTTCTTGCAATTAGCTCATTTGGCTGTTTTATAGATCAGCGCCATTTGCAAGCCCAGAAGAGTTGATTTGGGATGTTGTGTGAACGCAATCTCTGTCATGTTAACTACAAATGACTGATATCCTGAGTAAGGTGTTGTGTAAACCACAAACCACAGATAAAGAGCCAAAGAAAATAAAGCTGGAAATGGATTGTCATGAACCAAGCAGAGAAGTTTGATGTCGCATGAATATTCCCAGCCTGTTTTTGCTCCACTGCATGACTAAAGTATCCATTAGTTTTAACTTTTTGTTGAACTACAGATCCCAGCAGCCCCAACCACAAATGAGATGGCGACTAATGAGACATGTTGAGTTGTATTTTAACAACATCTGGAAGGCCACAGGATTCCCCACACCTGGTCTAGGAGAAACAATGCTTCAAATAGAAGTACCAGTTTCTACATGGAACTGTACAAGACTTTTGTTGTTGTTAGTTGCGAAGTCGTGTCCGACCCATCGCGACCCCATGGACAACGTTCCTCCAGGCCTTCCTGTCCTCTGCCATCTTCTGGAGTCCATTTAAGCTCATGCCTCCTGCTTCAGTGACTCCATCCAGCCACCTCATTCTCTGTCGTCCCCTTCTTCTATTGCCCTCCATCTTTCCCAGCATCAGGCTCTTCTCCAGTGAGTCCTTCCTTCTCATTAGGTGGCCAAAGGACTTGAGTTTCAACTTCAGGATCTGGCCTTCTAAAGAGCAGTCAGGGTTGATCTCTAGGACTGACCGGTTTGATCGGCTTGCAGTCCAGGGGACTCGCAGGAGTCTTCTCCAGCACCATAGTTCAAAGGCCTCCATTCTTTGGCGCTCAGCCTTATGGTCCAACTTTCACAGCCATACATTGCAACTGGGAAAACCATGGACTTGACTATACGTACCTTTGTTGGCAGGGTGATGTCTCTGCTTTATAGTAAGCCTATCCAGACTCAAAAGATGGTTTAAACGTATTGCATGCAACAGGTCGTTTTTCTTCCTTTCGGAGCAAGCAAATTTTAATATAGTAGTTGTGTTCATGTAGCATGGATATCTAAAGTTGACCAGGGGTGTCAGACTGCCGGCCCACGGGCTGGATGTGTCATGCCGAAACTGCACCCACCCCATTGTCGGCAATGGAAAAAAAGTCACGATACATCACACGACATGGCGAGTTTGATCAATTGTCCTGATTTTCTGGTTTTGCATCGAATGATTTAAAAAGAACACGCTTGGAATAGGCTTGCCGAATACACTTTGATATAGAGAGGTATCTAATTTGTGATTGTTATATGAGCCCAGAATGTGCCCCATTTCTAAGGATAGCATCATTTCTTACCCAATTATAAAATTCAGCCTCAGTAATGCTGGCTATGCACAAAAAGGCAGGTTGTTATTTGAGCATCCTTAGACATCTGCACTCACATTTGTTAGTTGGGAATAAATGTAGTTTCCACCTTTCCTGTTAATTTAGGCATTTCATCACCAAGTTTAAAAAAAAAAAAAAGACATTCAACTGCAGAACCTGTTCCCCAAAACCCAGTTTGTATTTTATTCTTCTTTCATTTCCATGTCTCTTTCGTATCCATTTTTGAATCAGAGGACCAACCAAAGGAGGCGAAGACCAGTAATTGCAGGCTGAGTACAGCAAATACACTTTGCGAGCACAGGATGAATTGAACACAAGGGGATAATGTGTGCAGCTGAGAGAGGCATTTTGTTAAGTCTAAGACTGGTCTTCAGAGGTTGGTTGTCAGGGAAGGAAGTATTTCCTCAGAGTTACGACATGCCTAGACATGTCTTTAACAGGCAAATGAGCCTTCAAAGTTACTATTCCACAGGATTCACTTATATAGCACAGTCTATCGCAGGGGTGACAAAACTGCCAGCCCATGGGCTGGTTGCATCACACGGAGCTCCAGCAATGCAAAAAAAGTCACAACTGCCAGCCCATGGGCTGGTTGCATCACACGGAGCTCCAGCAATGCAAAAAAGGTCACAATACGTTGCGACACTTCACGTGACGCGGAGAGTTTGACACCCGTGGTCTATCACCTCCAGCAAGGATCAAACTCTTATGCTGGGCCAGTCTGTAAATGCACTTCCCTTGAAGAATGTACTGGAGCAACGGTATAATGAAGCAGTTAGTCGAAGAGTGCCTGGCTGAGGAATTCTGGGAATTGAAGTCCACAAGTCATAAACAGGCCAAGTTTGAAGACCCCTGCTCTAGGTGCTGCAGCCCCCAGGCTCAGCCTCTTGAGAATCTGAGGGACCCCCGTGTCGATTAACCTCTGCTCTCCAAGCTTGCCTTTGGGAGTTAACCGTGCTTGTGTGTGCTCCTGTTTGTGCTTCAGGTTCTGGGGAGGCCAGGATTCAGCACTGCTGACAAGGAACGCCGAACTGGCAGCATCGGGGCCAAGCAGCTTATACACATTACGAATCTCTGGCTGCTTTGATGGAATTTTTAGAATAGAAATGAATTCGGTTTGCGCCAATCCTACTGTTCTATTTGGAACAAAATCAAAGGATTGTACACGGTTGAGGACTGGCCATCAGATTTCAGCCGTGCTGTTTTTGGAATGCTGATAGGATGTATGCAGCCTGTTGTCCATTCCTAGTCTAGGACAATGTTTCTCAAACAAAAGCAATTTTAGGTGGTGTGACCGTCAACTCCCAGAATTCCCCAGCCAGCCATGCCACACATCTGGAAGTTGCTGCAGTTGAGAAACACTGGGGTAGGGAAATTGACTGAATGAAAACTGGGTATTTTCCAAGTTATTGTACAAAAGAGAAAAAGGAAGACCAATGATACGTCTTGCATATTTAGTAGTGTTGCCATCAAACCTGACTGAATCACACTGAGGCTTCCAGATGCCAACAAAATCACACTGAGGCTTCCAGATGCCAACAAATGACCAAATCCAGATGAATAACAATTAACCTCTTCAGAAACCCACATGCTCCCACCCAATGCAGCACAGTAGTCCCAATCTTCAGGTTTCTTCCAAAAGAGTGATATCCAGTGCCCAAATATAGAAAGTCCACGGAGAGAAGATTACACAATGGCAAATTAAACAATGTAAAATTTTATTCACATTTATTTCCTAGTGGAAACAATTCATTTGCCTGGAAGAATGATGCCATCGTACTGCAAGGAGAAAAAAAGAAATTGGATCAGGTATAAACAAGGCAAGCTCTGCTTCAAACATGTAAGATCCCTCACATTCTATTTTTTCCAGATGTATAAGCTGTGCCTGAACACACAGCAGGTTCAAACCAGTTCAACGTTCACCCATCCCATCCCTCTCTAGCCCCAACTTCCAAGTATGTGTGAATGTATGTACAATCTCACAAAATGGACTCAAAAAGGCTGAAGCTTGTAAAATATTTTTCTGACACTTTATTCTGGACTGAGGCCTAAAAAGATGAATAATTAATTGGAGACTGTCTTCAAAGGCTCTATTTGCTCGACCCATCCAACTATTTAAAATAGTTTTACTCAACCCATCCAACTATTTAAAATTTTCCTTGTGCAATTAGGTTGCTGGAAAAAAAAGAGGGCCTCATGAACGAGGTGCATTAAAGAACAAGTCTTCTCACATGGAAGCATGTGTGAAATACAATGTCCCTGGATATTCCGCATGACAATAGATGCATAATTAAAACTACATAAACTACAATTTGCTGTAACATGTGAAGCATATGCCCTTCTCTTACATTTGTTTTAATAATAATAATAATAATAATAATAATAATAATAATAATAATAATAATAATAATAATAATAATAATAATAATAATAATAATAATAATAATAAAGTTGGAAGGGACCTTGGAGGTTATCTAGTCCAACTCCCTGCTCGGGCAGGAAACCCTACACCATTTCAGACAAATGGCTGTCCAGTCTCTTCTTAAAAACTTCCAGTGTTGGAACATTCACCGCTTCTTAACTAAGATCTCTCTTAATTAAGGACTGGTAGATGCTAACAATTCAGGATAGCCCTCCAAAACTATTCAATCCAACAAAACCGCTAAAAGAGAAATTTACTACCCAGTTCTACTGAAAGACAGGTGGTCCTCAACTTATGGCGGCAGTTGGGACCAGAATTTCCATGGCTACGCACATCTGCAAAGTGTGACTGCATCATCGCAGTCCCAGCTGCTGTTATTAACTGAATTGCAGTCATAAAGCAAAGCAACTTCCTTTCGGCTTCCCACAACCAAAGTTAGTGGAGAAGCCAACACGAAGTTGCAAATCCTAAGCCGGCAGGTAGGTAAGTGGTTACTCCCAATTGGGGGGGGGGAGGGAGTGTGCAAAGAGCTGGAGAGGTGTGAGACATCCCAACAACCAGTGAACTTCCCTGCTGGCTTCCTCACTGAAGCCAGCAGGGAAGGTCACTGATCTTGATCACATGACTGCAGGGCATCACAACTGATTGTAAATGCAAAGGGCCTCCACCAAGTCAAGGTCAGGTCACTGCGGGGGTGCTGGAATGGCCAAAAATCTGAGGACTGGTCACAACTCCCCCCCTCTTTGTGCAACACTACTGTAACTTTGACCAACCTCCGTACAAATGGTCATAGGTAATAATAATAATAAAGTTGGAAGGGACCTTGGAGGTCATCAAGTCCAACTCCCTGCTATGGCAGGTAACCCTACACCATCTCAGACAAATGGCTGTCCAATCTCTTCTTAAAAACTTCCAGTGTTGGAGCATTCACCGCTTCTGGAGGCAGGTTGTTCCACTGGTTAATTGTTCTAACTGTCAGGAAGTTTCTCCTTAGTTCTAGGTTGCTTCTCTCCTTGATGAGTTTCCATCCATTGCTTCTTGTCCTGCCTTCAGGTGGCTTTGGAGAATAGCTTGACTCCCTCTTCTTTGGGGCAGCCCCTGAGATATTGGAACACTGCTATCATGTCCCCCCTCGTCCTTCTCTTCATTAAACTAGGTGGAGAACTCCCGGTATACTTTTGGCGTTCCTCACTAGGATAGGGGAGGCAATGGGTTGCATATGCTGGATTAGAGATGTGCCTGGCAAACAGCTGGAACTACAATTCCCAGCATTCCTGGGCGGCATGACTCTCCCGCATTGCATCTGGGAATTCTCACTGCATCCCTGCGAAGGGCACCAGATGGGGAAGGCTGGCTTAAGGAATGCCTGCCCCCCCAATTTAAAAACCAACAGAGCAGACCAACCACAGTCCTTTTCAAACGCTTGTGTGTGGTGGTTAAAAACTGCACTGATGTACCTTTTGTTGAAACCAGCGCATGGCCTCCTCTTTGCTGATTCTATGCTTGGCCCCGATGCTGCCGGTTCGGCGTTTCTTGTCAGCAATGCTGAATCCTGGCCTCCCCAGAACCTGAAGCAAGAGGAGTAGCACACACAAGCATGGTTAACTCCTAAAGGCAAGCTTCAGGAAAGCTTTTCAGACACACTCCCAGTAGTTCAAAGGGAGTAACTCATAACTAGCAAAGCGCTGAAAGTAAACTTGGCAACAGAAATTTTGGAGAGCAAGAGGTTAATCAACATGGGGGTCCCTCAGATTCTGAGGCTGAGCCTGTGGCACCTAGAGCAGGGGTCTTCAAACTTGGCCCTTTTATGACTTGTGGACTTCAACTCCCAGAATTCCTGAGCCAGCCATGCTGAGGGGAAAGGGAGAGGTTTCCATGCTGAGCCATGCTGGCTCAGGAATTCTGGGAGTTGAAGTCCACAAGTCATAAAAGGGCCAAGTTTGAAGACCCCTGGCCTAGAGTGTTCAACCTGGGATACAGAACAGCTACAGCTTTAAAGACCTTAACAATGAAGAAGTGAAAGGGGTCCCTGAAAGATACAAGCTACATACTAATCTATTTAACAGTTATGGCAAAGCTTAAAGCTCCACGGAAGGAAGAAAAATTATAAGCACCCCCCAAATAAATGAAATGAGCTGTTCACAGGATAATCCTAGCTGGAACAGATCAGGGATCAATTCTTATTAGGGTTTCTAAAACATCATACAGACTTAATCCGTTCTCTTTTTTTAATGTGGTGAAAAACAAGTCATATGACAAAACGCCCATCAACTATAAAAACCCTGGAAATGAAAGCTATAAATATCATAACCAGGAAACTAGTATCAAGCCTCCTAGAAATATCTTTAAAAAAAAACCAGCACATATATCAAAGGTAAGCAAATGTCCTCTGGATGCTATATTGTGGCTGCTAGGAATCGGGAGCTCCAAACATCTGGAAAGCACCAGGTTGTTAACATCTGCAACAGTGTTTCACTCAATACAAATGCTAGTTTCATTCTTATGTGAATCAAACCACGAACAAAATGAAATCAACAAACTCCCACTTATTCTAAAATTGATTCAGTTCTTTCTGGGTGCAACAGTAATGATGACATTCTTCCTGGTCCCGCTTCTCAATTTATTATCTGTATATCTGTCAAGCCAGATAGAGGAGTGAAATTCCAGCTAAACTGATTTACTGTTTATGCTATGCACAGGAATCTACTCAAAGGTTAACACTGTTTTGGTCCTAGATTAGGTGAAAGGAATTCAAGAGTTAGTTGTTTGTGGCTATATAGCGACTCTAAGCGGATTCCTCTTTTGACCTTGTCCCCAGGTTCTGCCACCGCTTCTGCTACCCGATTCCCTGCAATACACTCCTGACTTAATTCTCACACGTATTTAGACTGAGACAGAATTCTTCAACCCCAAATCTGGTAATAAAATAGAAGACTCAAAGCTTTCTCCGTGCAGTGTAGCTGTTTGGGGAATTCTGGGAATTGAGATCCATGCATCTTCAAGTTGCTGAAGTTGAGGAACACTCAATTAAATCATAAAAGTCTTCTCTCCAGATGTTATCGGGGCATGGAGCCAGAAGGCAAGATGAGTCGTGTGTCATTCCAGTTACCTACATTTAATATTATAGACCAAAATCTTTATCTCTGTTTTGGTTCATGTATGCTTCAAGTACGCCAGCTGCAACATTTTGTCAGTTTCCCCATTTTTTTAGGATAGCAATCCCCTTTCAGTTTATGAGAACGGGCCAAGCATCGCTGCTGTCACTGCAGTGCTAGAAAGGGCCCAAACTAGAGTTATACAATACCAAAATGTAAGAATGTAGAAGTTTAAGCTAAATATACAAACCACATAGAAGTCCAAGCCATAGATGCCAATACTGGGATCATATTTAATTCCCAAGTCAATGTGTTCTTGGATCCCAAATCCAAAATTGCCAGTGTCAGAGAAGTTATTCTTTCTCAGCTCATATTCTCGCACCTGGAATAATGACATTAGTTTAGATCTCTACCCTTCCAAATTCCATGTCTTAGAAAAGTGATTAGCAGCGGCTTGCCTTCAATCCTTTCTCCAAGATCTCTTCAGCTTTTGCCCCACGTACGGTGCAGTGAACAGCAATCTTCTCATTTCTCCTGATCCCAAAAGACCGGACGGTGTATCGAGCTGCAAAACAAACCCAGTTTTATAAGATGTTTTGAAATCAGATAAAATAAGCAGAAAACAAACTTCAGCAAACATACAAAAACAAATTGGAAATCCCAAATCCAAGTATCGGTTGAGACCTCCTGAGTCAACAGCTCAGATCTCCCTTAAATCTGCAGCCTTCCAGATGTATGGGATCCTATCCCAAATGTCACCCACTGGGATATCTAACACCAGACTTAGTTCAACACATCTGAAAGGCACCAGGTTGGGGAAGGTCACGGGCGTACCAAATATCTCCCTTCGACCAGTCCGCTCCCACAGAGAGGGCCTCCTTAGGGTACCGTCGGCCAGCCAATGCCGGCTGGCGACCCCCAGGGGGAGAGCCTTCTCTGTGGCAGCTCCTGCCCTCTGGAATGACCTACCCCCCCGACCTACGTACAGTTGCGGACCTGCGCCTCTTCCGCCGAGCCCTGAAAACTCATCTGTTCCATGCGGCCGGCCTGGTGTAGTTTTGATTGGGTTTTGTTAGAGGTTTTATATTTTAGAGCAGGCTTTTATGTAATATTTACTGTGATTTTTATTATTGCCTGTTCACCGCCCTGAGTCCCGTAAGGGAGATAGGGCGGTATATAAACTTGAATAATAAATAAATAAATAAAATATTTCAGGACAAAAAGAAGCTTTGTATAATTAAGTGCTTTAAAGCTCAAAGTATTTCCAGCTCAATTGTTATTGGAAAAACAAAACAAAACTAGTGTATTCTTGGCAGTGCTGACATAATGAGATTGTAGGCTCAGATGGAAAAGCAGCAAAGGCTGTCTTTGTGCATTTTTCCTCACTGGACAGAAAACGGACTGGCCTGTTCATTACATTCCCTGCTTATTCCCAGTGGCTCAAAGTGGATAGAAGTGAATACAACAATTCAGCGGCAAATTTATTTTAAAGAAATAAATAAAGGTACGTGGTATGCTATCCTCAATAATACAAGTAAGCTGGCTTGAATCCTGCTCCCATTTTTAAAAGAGGTCAAGCCCTCATTGTTGAAAAGATGTCTGGAAATGAGACTGGCAGTTGAAAGTATCCTGTGTTGGACCCTGGGCCCCAGTATTCATCTATCAAAATTATTTACGCTGCCTTTTGGAATAACAATTGTCCCAAGGCAGCTTACAAGCTACGTATACAGAAGATGGTAGAGGACAGGAAGGCCTGGAGGAACGTTGTCCATGGGGTTGCGATGGGTCGGACACGACTTCGCAACTAACAACAACAAATACAATTTGAAGATGTAAAATACATTTTATACAGTTAAATAAAAACTGGGCATTGTAAAAAATAAATGCAACATGTGGATTCTAGTAAATTAACCCAATTTGGAGGTCTACAGACCTGTGAGGTGCTTTAGCCTGTTTCTTGATTTCTGACAAGGGAGGCATCTGAGCCTAAGTCAAAAGGTTTATTTACACCAGATCATGACGCTAAACAAAGTCCTCACAGCATGACCACCCCAAATATTTGGAATCTCATAGAGCAGTGATGGCGAACCTTTTAGAGACCGAGTGCCCAAACTGCAACCCAAAACCCACTTATGCATCGTCGAGTGCTGGGTGGGTGTGGCCAATTGGGTGGGCGTGGCCACAGTGGTAACGGCAGACTGGGGGGGGGGACTAAAAAGTTCAATCAATCAATTCCAACTTTGCAAGAATTTTTTTTTTCCCGCGAGAAGTTGAAATTGACAGATTGAACTTTTTTTTTTTTGCACACGGCGGCGGAGGCCTAAAACGAAAAGGTTTTATAAAACCCAGCTGAAGGCCTAGGATTGGGGTGACGGCGCGTGTGCCCACAGAGAGGGCTCTGAGTGCCGCCTCTGGCACCCGTGCCATGGGTTCGCCACCACTGTCATAGAGGAAAACCTCAAATGATTCTGGAGTCATTTTCACGACTCTTTGTGTTCTACAATAATCTTGCCCAACCCAGGGCTAAATCAAAGCTCCTACCACCAGCTTGGTGAAGGCTGGCGATTCAACGAAGGCTGGTAGTTGAACGAAGAAGAGGCTAATCAGAAGGCTGCTAGTTCTTGTAGCTCAGTCGACGCCTTTGACCAAATTTACCTTTTGAGAAGACGGGGGTCTGTCCTGTGAGCTGCTCCAACACTTTGGCTGCTCGCGTCAGCCTGTCCCCACTCTCTCCAACGCAGATGTTCAAGCAGAGTTTGCGAATGCGCAGCTCCCTCATGGGGTTTTCCTTCTCACCCTGGTCTTGTTGCTGCAAAATGGTAGGGGAAAAAAAAAGGGGGTTGTGGTTATGGCAGAAACAGCCCAGTCTTATTCTCATCACATGTACTCTGGAACAAGGAGCAATACATGGAATTGGGTTCGGTTTCTTGAGACTGGCAAGGCTATTTTTGGTTTTATGTTACAAATACAGCATAACACATTAAATCAGGGGTCCCCAATGCCCAGTCCGTGGACCGGTTCCAGGCTGTGGCATGCCAGCAACCAGGCCGTACAAACAAGCAAAGCCCCATCTGTGGGATGCAGGCAACACACAAAACCACGCACTCTCTGGTCTGCGGAAAAATCTCTTTCCACATAATCGGTCCCTGGCGCCCAAAAGGTTGAGGACTTCTGCCTTAAATGCCTCCAAGTGGTTACCCCACTCTTCCTCATAGTACTTTTCAGCTATCGATTATGATTGTAACTCTTGCCTGTTTTTGATCTCTCTAGCTTCAATCTGCCAATCTACCTACTAGTAGGCTAAAGGGAGAGGGAACCACGATTAGTACCAGGTAGGAGTTATTAGCATAGTAGCCAATTCAAAATCGCATAGAAATCCCGGTATTTCGTCTGCACAAATCACACTCTTGATATCGTAGTTAGAATGCAGAGCAGACTTAGAAGCACCACACAGAACAAAGTACTGACTAAATAGCTCCTAAACCTTGGTGTTCCAGTTTCAAAAACTGATTTTCTATTTAATTTGTTGGTAGCTACTTAAAGCAGGGATTTAATGCACTACTAATTTTTAGCTCTAATTACAAGTCACAGGTTAGGGCCCCTGACCCCACTGAATATACCTTGAATAAGAAAAACAATTACAGTGCTGTGTGGAAATTCACAAAGTCCCCATAGTCCCCCACAGTGCAAGTTATGATTTGGTTAGTTTATACCCAAACAGAAATACCACAAGACTGGAGCAATCTAAAAGATGCGTGAATGAAAATAACCTTCGTAACTAGTAATATTAGCACTATTCTTCAAAAATAAAAACAATTAACTCATTAGCTCACGCTTGAATGAATCAACAGGGTGAGATTATAACTCCGTTGCGTAAAATAGGTTTTGGATGCACAAGGCTCCGAGTTCAATTACTGACACCTTCAGCTTTAAAAAGTACAGCTAGACCTCGACTTACAACAGTTTGTATAGTGATCGTTCAAAGTTACAACCACACTGAATAAAGTGACTTATGACCGTTTTTCACACTTTGTTGTTGTTGTTAGTTGCAAAGTCATGTCCGACCCACCGCGACCCCATGGACAACGTTCCTCCAGGCCTTCCTGTCCTCTACCATCTTCTGGAGTCCATTTAAGCTCACGCCTACTGCTTCGGTGACTCCATCCAGCCACCTCCTTCTCTGTCGTCCCCTTCTTCTCTTGCCCTCCATCTTTCCCAGCATCAGGCTCTTCTCCAGGGAGTCCTTCCTTCTCATTAGGTGGCCAGAGTACTTGAGTTTCAACTTCAGGATCTGGCCTTCTAAAGAGCAGTCGGGGTTGATCTCCTTTAGGACTGACCGGTTTGATCGCCTTGCAGTCCAGCGGACTCGCAGGAGTCTTCTCCAGCACCAGAGTTCAAAGGCCTTAATTCTTTGGCGCTCAGCCTTTCTTAGAGTCCAACTTTCACAGCCATACATTGCAGCTGGGAAAACCATGGCCTTGACTATACGCACTTTTGTTGGCAGGGTGATGTCTCTGCTTTTTAGTCTGCTGTCTAGATTTGCCATAGTTTTCCTCCCCAGGAGCAAGCGTCTTTTAATTTCTTGGCTGCAGTCCCCATCTGCAGCGATCTTGGAGCCCAGGAAGATAAAATCTTCCTTAGCAGAGATTTTTAAATTGCATTTCTACACTGCTGTAAACTCCTGTGATATTAAAGTTTTGGCGGAATACAGATTTAATAATACTCCTCTTAACATCAGACTGACATTATAGTTACCAGGCAGTGGGCAATTCGTGCTGGCCATTTGAGAGTTAATTTAACGAAGGACACTTTCCCAAGGCATGATATAATAAGCATTGCATTTCAGACTATCCTCAAGAAGGAGCGACATGGGAGTTAGCCACCAGCTGATCAACCCCTTAACTGAATATACACGTTTTCTAGACTTGCACACACAATCCCACAAAATCCACTACACCACCTCCTAAGCAAAGGCCCTGAGTTCACTGAACCTGCAGGACAAGAAGCCATGGATGGAAACTAACCAAAGAGAGAAGAAACCTAGAACTTAGGAGAAATTTCCTGACAGTTAGAACAATTAACCAGTGGAACAACCTGCCTCCAGAAGCGGTGAATGCTCCAACACTGGAAGTTTTTAAGAAGAGACTTCAATAAGAGTACCTGAAAACAATAAGAGTACCTGAAAGCTAAAAACAGCAAGATATATCTTTAAGAACTATGACACTAATAAATAACAGATAGTATCAGATGGCAGATATAGGATATATCAGGTCTGATTAATAATAAGGAGAAATAAGGAGAAACTTCCTGACAGAATTAACCAGTGGAACAACCTGCCTCCAGAAGCGGTGAAGGCTCCAACACTGGAAGTTTTTAAGAAGAGACTGGACAGCCATTTGTCTGAAATGGTATAGGGTTTCCTGCCTGAGCAGGGGGTTGGACTAGATGACCTCCAAGGTCTCTTCCAACATCATCATCATCATCATCATCTTCATTATTATACTATCCAGAAACACAGACACACCCCGATTAACTTGCTAAACTAAGCTCAGTAGGTCGTAGGAACCCGGCCCCCGTTGTCTTTTAGCTGGAAAAGGCACGGGTAGGCCCAGCAGTTTTGGGACAAGGAAGAAGCGCCTCTCTCGCGGAGGATAAGCTCCACAGGAAGGCCGAGATGGGGAATCAAATCTTTAGCCGGCCTGGACAAGGGGGCCAGTCATTTTTCTACACCCTTTCATCCGCGCAGCAATCTCCGCCGGCCGCTTCCCATAATCCCCTCAAAGGAGGCCCCGACCCTTCCCTGTCCCGCTGGCACAGAGCCCCGGCCGAGAAGCCTCGGATCCGTCAGGATGGAGGTGGATTTAAGGCGGCTCACGGAGCCGCTAGGGCAGAATTACTACTCACCGACATTTTGGAGGCGTGGAAAAGAGCGCGGGAGCTCCGGAAGAGGATCTTAATGCGGCCGGTCAGGCGAAACTGCCATAGAGCCCGAGTCAAGGCAGTGAGTTCGTAAACAGAGGGGTTCCCCTAGAGAGGAGGGATCGACGCCGCACTGCCCTCTGAAGGTAGGGAGAAAGCACTGCACCCTACCCGTCATTTAAAGCCGGGGACCAAGAGGTTCATCCTTGGCGAATTTAAACGGTGTGGACTTCAACTCCCAGAATTCCCCCAACCAGCATTACAGTGGGGCGTTACTAGCTGGGGAAGTCTGGGAGTTGAATTCCGCCCAGCTTAAAGTTGCCACGGTTGAGAAACATTGCTCCAGAGAATAGAATAGAATAGAATAGAATAGAATAGAATAGAATAGAATAGAATAGAATAGAATAGAATAGAAAATATGGAATAGAATAGAATAGAATAGAATAGAATAGAATAGAAAATATGGAATAGAATAGAATAGAAGGGACCTTGGAGGTTTCTAGTCCAGCCCCCTGCTCAAGCAGGAGGACCTATCCCAATGGTGGCGAACCCATGGCACGGGTGCCAGAGGCGGCACTCAGAGCCCTCTCTGTGGGCACGCGCGCCATCGTCCCAGTCCTAGGCCTTCAGCTGGGTTTTATAAAACCTTTTCGCTTTAGGCCTCCACCGCCATGTGCAAAAAAAAAAAAAAGGTTAAATCAATCAATTTCAACTTCTCGCGGGAAAAAAAAAGTTGAAATTGATTGATTGAACTTTTTAGTCCCACCTAGTCTGCCGTTACCACTGCAGCCACACCCACCCAATGGGTCACGCCCACCCAGTTGGCCACACCCACCCAATGGGCCACACCCACCCGGCACTCGACGATGCATAAGAGGGTTTTGGGTTGCAGCTTGGGCACTCAGTCTCTAAAAGGTTCGCCATCACTGACCTATCCCGTCTCAGACAGGTGATTGTCCAATCTCTTTTTAAAAACTTCCAGCGATGCTCCCACGATTTTCATGCTAAGCATCTTTGCTGTTGCCTCTTTTTGACTGGAGCTGCCATAAAATTCACTGGGTGATCTTGAGCCGGTCATCATCTTCCAGTCTAAACCATCTCTTGCTTTCCAGAGATGGCCATCATTTCAGCAGTGTATTTGGGCATTTTTTGAAAGTGAGAATGTATGGTTTTGTCTCTCAACTTCCATCAAATTGGGTAGGGGAAAAAAATCCCACCTGCACATTTTTGCACAACCCCATATGGTGCTTCTCAATCCTCCAGAAGTCTGGAAGACCCATTTGATAGGAGGAGGAAAGAAGAAAAAGAAAGTGATGAGCAATTTACATATGTTTGAACATTTTGGTAGAAAGATTGCAATAGACAAAAATGCAACTGCCAGTTCAGCTTTTTGGGGAGAAAAAAGTGTATTTTCAGACAGAGGAAGAAAGAATGGAACAGATTTCTTCAGAACACAAAAACTATTGCAGCAATTCATATAAAAAACCACAACAAGAACATGAAAAACAAACTGTGTGCCCCTCATTAACTTGGCTATTCCACCAAATGAGGAAAACAAACAAACGAACAAAAGAAGCAATGATCTAAACCAGGGGTAGGCAACCTTGGCTCTTTTATGACTCGTGGACTTCAACTCCCAGAATTCCTGAGCCAGCATAGCTCAGCTTGGAAACCTCTCCCTTTCCCTTCAGCATGGCTGGCTCAAGAATTCTGGGAGTTGAAGTCCACGAGTCATAAAAGAGCCAAGGTTGACTACCCCTGATCTAAACCATGGATCTCCAAACTTGGAACTTCAACTCCAGAATTCCCCCGTCAGCCATTCACACATTTGCAATTTTGCTGTTGGTATTGGTAGAGGTGGTGGTGAGGTAAAGCCACTTGAATTTAGTGTGCTCCTGCCCTTGTAAAAAGTTGCTCAGCTTAAAATTTAAGATTCAAAAGAAATACAAACTCCAGACTGGCACCCCCTGATAAGCTGGCAGAGAATTCTGGGAGTGATAGTCCTGGAACATCAAGAGGGCACCAGAGGGAACAAGATTGGTACATAATGAAACGTACATCAAAAAGACATCAAAGCATCAATCAACATTCCTTGGCAGCAACTTCTAGTTCAGTGGTAGGCACCCTATGCTCTTTTATGACTCATGGACTTCAACTCCCAGAATTCCTGAGCCAACATAGCTGATTCAGGAATTCTGGGAGTTGAAGTCCATGAGTCATAAAAGAGCCGAGGTTGCCTACCCCTGTTCTAGTTCAAGGGAGAACAAAATTAGTTCCCAGTTGGCTAAGAATAATGAATTGGTACATTATTTTGCAATAGGTTTTCCCCTGAAGCTCAATGTATGTTTTGTTGTTGCCTACTTTTGTAAATCAAATTGTAATGGGAAGATGTGCCACAGCCCTTCCCACCTTTGAGTTTTAGGATATCAGCTCTCATCAGTCACTTGCAGAATGAGCAGCCATCGTGAATGATAGGAACTGCAATACAAAATATCCAAAGAGGTTGCCTCCTATCATCACTTGAGATGTAATATTTGGCCTTTTGTGGGATGAGTGTTAGTATTCTCACAGACAATGTGACTTGGAAATGAATGGAAAAGATTTATGGATTTTACAAGAATGCTCAGACTTGCCCTCTAGAAGTCCATAAAGAATCCTTCTTTGGACCTGCTGCAGTTGCAAAACTTGTGAATCACCTGGATTGGCTTAAATGACCTGGTCACTAACAAAGAAGGTGCCCAGCTTTTGCTTTTGCCCAGTGGAGCAAAAGAAATGTGGGTTAAACTGCCAATTAGGGAGAACAACTGAGAGCAGCCCAGTGTGGCCATGTCATGTCAGAACGCACAGCCAGAGCAGGGTAACTTTTCTGATGGGATGTCTTGGCAATGGCTTCTTTCTCTTTCAGATGACAGCACAGGAACTTCAGTTTAGTGGGCGGGAAGAGCTTTGCTGCAAACAGATTGCATGTAGGGAGAAAGAAATGGCTGAGGTGAGCAGAGGCCACCTCCTGAATGAAACTGCCCAGGACTCTCTCGAAGCAGGAAGCGATGTCCAAGGGTTTCCAATCAGTGTCAGCCTTCCACTTCCAGAGAGTGTGCAGAAAGGACATCTGAAGGTGGTGAGAACTCAGTGGAGCCAACATCAGCGGGTGTTCCATCTTAAGAGAATCCACCAGATCTTGTAGCATCTTCAGGCAATCATTCCTGGAACGTTAAAAAAAAAAACATCACAATTCCAGGCTTTCCTAAACTGTCATGATGATTTGGGAGTGGAGATGTCATAGATTCATTGGTAGAAGGGCTCCAACATGGTCTGTTAGCTTCTTATAATCTAATGCTCCTCTAGAATAACAGAGGTGGAAGAGACCTTGGAGGTCTTCTATCGAGTCCAACCTCCTGCTCAAGCAGGAAACCCTACACCATTTCAGACAAATGGCTGTCCAATCTCTTAAAAACTTCCAGTGATGAAGCACCCACAATTTCTGAAGATAAGCTGTTTCACTGGTTAATTGTTCTCACTGTTAAGAAGTTTCTCCTTAGTTCTAGGTTGCTTCTCTCCTTGATTAGTTTCCATCCATTGCTTCTTATCCTGCCTTCTGATGCTTTGGAAAATAATTGGACCCCCCTCTTCTTTGTGGTAACCCCTCAAATATTGAAACACTGCTATCATGTCACCCTTAGTCCTTCTTTTCATTAAACTAGATCTACCCAATTCCTGCAACCGTTCTTCCTATGTTTTATCCTCCGGTCCGCTAATCATCTTTGTTGCTCTTCTCACTCTTTCTAGAGTCTCAACCTCTTTTTTTTATATTGTGGCCACCATAACGCTAGAGATTCTGAGAAATGACATGACACCCCTGAAAGATGCCAGGTTGGGAAAGGCTGAACTTGATCATCATCCCTACAGGGTGATGCAATCAAAATATTTTTTTGGTCTGACTCCAAGGTATCTTCAGCAAATTCAGGCCAACTTAGACTATGTAAGGCAGGGGTCTTCAAACTTGGTCCTTTTATGACTTGTGGACTTCAACTCCCAGAATTCCTCAGCCAGGCATGTGTGCCTGGCTGAGGAATTCTGGGAGTTGAAGTCCACAAGTCATAAAAGGGCCAAGTTTGAAGACCCCTGATGTAAGGTAATCTAGACACACATACCTGCAGCATTTTGACCCATGGTGTCTGTAGCATGCTGGAGGAGTGCTGTGGTGGTACAAAATCTCTTTTTCCACATGAGAGAAGGAAATTCTCCATGTTTCTGAAATATATACATATATTGAATACAACAGGAGAGAGACAGACAGGTGCTGAAATCTATACAATCTGCCATCAAGCAAAGCCATTGTTTGCTACGGGGCGAGTTTTGTCAGAAGTAGAAGCTAGTGTCTGGCAAAACTGTCATAAATTGTGGTTTAGCAAACAGCCAAAATGCAGGTCAGTTGCCAAGTGCCCAAAATGCACTCATGTGATCATGCGAGGGACCAAATTTGGAACTTAAAAACCGGGTCATAAGTAGCTTTTCAAGGATCCATCATAACTTTGAACGGTTGCTAAGCAACATAAGTCAAGGACTATCTGTATATGTAAGAATGAGATTGATATCCCAGATTTGGGATAAAACATTAATGGAGCTACTAAAGGAGAAATGAGTTTCTCAGTACAGGTAACCTTCGACTTAAACAAAGATTAATTTAGTGAAGTTTAAAGTTTAAATGGCACTGAAAAAGTTTAAATGGCGACTTTTTTCACATGTCCGTGGCAGCATCACCATGGTCAAAATTCAAATGCTTGGCAACTGACTCATATTTGGAGTCAGTCTGGATGGGGAGGAACAGACTCAGACTCAACCCTTCCAAGACCGAGTGGCTGTGGTTGCCGGCGCCCCGGCATAGTCAGCTGACTCCATCGCTGACTATAGGGGGCGAGACTCTGGCCCCCTCAGAGAGGGCACGCAACTTGGGTGTCCTCCTGGATCCACGGCTGACACTGGAAGACCATTTGTCGGCCGTGA